CCCTACATTAAAAGAAATGGTTTCTTTAAAGAAAGGGAAGTCAGTTTTAGAATACGTAGACAGGATAGAAAATGAAACCATTTACCATGGGTTTAGAGTGCAAACATTAAGCTCACTAGTACATATATTCTAAATTTCATCAGTCAGACACACAGTAGAACCTTGTACAACCCTTTCCACTTGGTGAGCAGGAAAAAGCTACTTTTCACTGAAGAAGTGACCTGCCAGGAAGCAGTCATGTTTGAAGAGAACCATTCTGTGAAATTCACAGAAAACCCTTAGGCATAACACTGGTAAGCAGAAGCAGGACATCTTCACAAGTTTTGAAATAAAAATGTAAGCAATACAACTGTCCACAGCATTTAACATTTCTGGTCAAGCAGTAATACCAAAGCTGATACAGGATTTTCATGAAAATACCCAAAAAAGACCTAAAGCTCAATACCAAGGAGTTTGAATGCCAAGTAAGAATATACACACTCAAGGAAGTCAAGTTTCCTCTAGTCCTTATAAGTGCCCCAATTCCAGCTGTATGACTTCTTTAACCAAAATGTCTGGAGACTTACATTCTTTGGCTGTTGATTTACTTTTTTGTCTTCTAGATCTTTGAATTTTGATCGATAAGAAACCATTTTTTCCTGAAGGTCTGGTGTACAAAGCTCATACACATCCAACATAAGAGGAAATTTAACGTCCTAGGAAGTAAGAAACAAAGATTACTAACATCATTTGGTACTCTGTGTTAAAGCTTTCTCCCACGGGAAGACAACATTAAGTCCAATTAGATGCAACTCTCATCACATTTATAACCACTTGATCTACTGAAATGTTGCTGACAGGACTTACCTAAAGGGCTACAATACTTTCACAGAAGAATGTCTAGTTCAGGATAAACAAACTATCATAAGTTACCATATTCAGAATAAATATTTAGATTCTTTATTATTAGCTTTCATACTTTATACTACAGAAATGCCTATGCAGGCCTAAGGCAAAAAAAATGCATGTAGAACAACTATACACTGACAGAAGTATTCATTTGTGTTATCCAAATGATCTTCTAGAATAGTTAACACGTGCCTTCGATCTTTATTCCCCTGCTTAAGAGAAGCAGCCATCATCTATCACAATGCTCCCCAGGGCAGCCTAGGAAGTCTGTCAGCCAAGGCTAACAGAAAGCAGAACTGGAACATGTAGCTGTTGGCAGCTGGTTCTTGCATTTGTCAATCAGAAAGCCCATTAAAATAACTAGTACAGGAAGAGTTTGTTGGCCCAAACATTTCTCATCAACTGCAGCACACTGTCCAGTAACCAAAAGCATGGCCCTCTCCTTAACTAAACATTATCCTTTGAGCCATTGGTGAAAAGAGACCAAAAAAACACCCTAGCAGTGTTTGGAGCAAATTCATTTCTGTTCCTTACCTCCCTTTCGCCAGTCTATTTTGGTAGGACAGTTTGCCACAAAACTGGGACCATCACAACTGGGACCAAAGCTACTTTGTGCTTCAGCAAAGAAATGGCCCTGTTAATATTTTTAAATGCAACTGAAAAGCAAACAATTGAGTAAATAGCCTTCAAGTAAACAGCCTTGAAGTATTAGTTGTCTACCTACAACAAAAACATCACTGAAAAGCATGAAGAGGAATTCAAGATCAATATGCTCAAAACTTACCTTAAGAACTTTGGCATTCACAGATTCTTTCTCTTTGTAAAAAAACCTAACCATCTGAATAGTCAGGTAGGCTGGCAAGCGACTGATCTTAGACTGTAAGAAAAACAGAAAAAGCTGTTACTTTAGATAGTGACAGACCTTTTAAACACTTAAACACTGCAAATCCTAAATTACAGGCTATCCTGTACATAAACACATAGGAATATAGCAAGGCCTCCTGATCTGAAGCTCTGTATAGTAGCGTACTCAAAGAAGTAATTCTCAATTTTATATTTCTTGGTAGTGGATATGCAGGTATTTTATAAACATAAATCACACGCTGTTGCAGCAATAACTTTGTGTTTTAGGATAGAAAATTGACAACAGTTAAATGAATGATGAAGAGAGCAACAAAAGTATCACTCACAGATTTGATATAGAGTGCATTTCTCTGCAGTGTTGGAGACAGTTTGGTGATTTCCTCTTGAAGGCGCTGTTGAAAGAAAGGTAACACCACCTATGTTTATCATAAGAAACAGCCTGAAGCGAAGCACAGCACAGACAAACAAGTCATAAACTAAATCTGGTTCTGCCCATCTTATGTATTGCTATCAGCCATTACAACACACAGGATTTTGAAACTCCTTGGCAGAAAGAGCAAGCCCACTCCTTTGTTCGGCTCCAGGCTCATTCCTGTGCCCTAACACAAAGCTGCTCTCTGTAGAAAATTTAATTCTGCAGGAGTAGAACTTTCACTTGGATTTGGTTAGAAACTGTATCTGGATTTGGTTACGAATGTGTCATGTCATGCTTGGAACACAACTAAAGCAAATCGGAGGTTTCTTCTGAGGGGAATATCTGCAGATTTCCCAAACCTCAGTCTAAAGCAGACAGAGCTACAAAGGAGAAAGGTAGTGATACCCTGTTTCCAGGGACCTTTCCTAATTTAGGGCAAGACTGGCCTGGTTGGTAGTGTTGGTTCTACCAACCAGGCAACTCAGCATAAGAATTCTAGACCTTTTCTGGCCCGAAGGCAAGGTTCCTTTTTTTCTTATAACAATAATCTATGCAATTATGATTTTATTTCTGAACATTAACTAGTTTATCTTACTTTTCCTTCTAGCGTCTGTCAAAAAAAAAGAAAAAGCAGATACAAAGATTATCTGAGAACCATGCAACTTGGTCCAGTCACTGCTTCCATCCCTGCTCTTACACAAATACTCTGCAAGAGCAGTTACTATGGAGGTTTCATAGTAGGCTCCTCTCCTGGCTCCTTCAGACTCTCCAAAATCCCCTAAAAACTTAGAAATACACATCTAAAAAGCACAGACTACGTGAAGAAATTCTACTTAAGTAAACAGTTTAAAGATGATGTTGTGTCATGGAAAATAACAACCCCTTCAAATTCTGCAAAATTAAAGTTTAATTGTTCCATCACCTGGGGTTTTTTCTCTTAGCAACCAAAATGCCACCCTGTTTTAAAATTTGACTCCTGAGGAGCTCTTTACAGCATGCTTAAATCATGACCATAGTGCTGGAGCCTGTGAAGACAGGCTGAAAGAGTTGGGCTTGTTCTGCCTGGAGAAGAGAAGGTTCCAGAGACCGTACAGCAGCCTTCTAGTACCTAAAGGGGGCCTACAAGGAATTTGGAGAAGGACTTTTTACAAGAGCATGTAATGACAGGGCAAGGGAGAATGGCTCTAAACTGAAAAAGGGTAGAGTTCAATTGGATATTAAGAAGCAATTCTTCACTATGAGGGTGGTGAGACACTGGCACATGTTGCCCAGAGAAGCTGTGGCTGCCCCATCCCTGGCAGTGTTCAAGGCCAGGTTGGACGGGGCTTGGAGCAATCTGATCTAGGGGAAGGTGTCCCTGCCCGTGGCAGGGGGTTGGAACTGGATGACCCTTAAAAGTTCTTTCCAGCCCAAACCAATCTGTGATACTGCTCAGCCTGGAGTGTGTGTCATGGAAAATAACAACCCCTTCAAATTCTGCAAAATTAAAGTTTAATTGTTCCATCACCTGGGGTTTTTTCTCTTAGCAACCAAAATGCCACCCTGTTTTAAAATTTGACTCCTGAGGAGCTCTTTACAGCATGCTTAAATCATGACCATAGTGCTGGAGCCTGTGAAGACAGGCTGAAAGAGTTGGGCTTGTTCTGCCTGGAGAAGAGAAGGTTCCAGAGACCGTACAGCAGCCTTCTAGTACCTAAAGGGGGCCTACAAGGAATTTGGAGAAGGACTTTTTACAAGAGCATGTAATGACAGGGCAAGGGAGAATGGCTCTAAACTGAAAAAGGGTAGAGTTCAATTGGATATTAAGAAGCAATTCTTCACTATGAGGGTGGTGAGACACTGGCACATGTTGCCCAGAGAAGCTGTGGCTGCCCCCTTGGTGGAAGTGTTCAAGGCATCCCTGGCAGTGTTCAAGGCCAGGTTGGACGGGGCTTGGAGCAATCTGATCTAGGGGAAGGTGTCCCTGCCCGTGGCAGGGGGTTGGAACTGGATGACCCTTAAAAGTTCTTTCCAGCCCAAACCAATCTGTGATACTGCTCAGCCTGGAGTGAAACCCAGCTGAAAAAACAAGCAGCAAATTGGCTGCATTTGGTGACCTGCATGGAGAGGACATTGCCAGGGTCAAGAAAACCCTCTGCTGACACTAACATGCAATTTGTTTTCACTGCCATCTTCCCATTGAACACCAAAAAACCAAAAACCTTAGAATTTTGTAAAGCTTGGACAGCAGATGTCAATTCCAAGTCACAGATTAAAAACACAGGTAATGTAGAATTTCAATTAAATAAAGACTATAATAGCTTACCAATTTTAGTCCTGTAAACAGATATTTCACTTCTTGATTGATAAAGCAGCTGAGCTGAAGCAAATTCTCCTTTCCTTTAGTTACTTCCTCTTCTTCAGCTTCTGTACATTTCATACTTCACAAAATTAAGGAAAAACATAGTGCACCAAGAGCTGCTCTAGTGAAAGGAACATGCTGAACAGCACGGTAATTTAAAATAATCCTCTGCTTGGGCACCAGTAGTACTTTTACTTTTCATAGGACAAAAAAAACCCAGATTTGCAACAGTCCTTCATTCTAACCAATCCACTCCTTCATTGTGTAATGACAAGCAGTAGCTGGTACTAAGCTGTGAGATACAGTACCTCATCTAACAGGAAGTTTCCTTATTTCAGACAAGCAAAATGCACAGTATAATCCTTTCTAAAAGGTGGTGGTCAGTCTCATGACAGCCAGGACTGTGCGATGGAGAAGAGGGAAAAGTGTAACACTTGGCATGAGATGTGTGCCCCATGTGGTCATACACATTTTTTGTCCTTGCTATAAAAAAGATACTAGGAAGTTGTCAGCCACAATAGTTCCTTACTCATCTAACAGTGTGCATCTTATCTATTTCTTAAGAAATCAGTCAAGCTATCTTTTGTACATGTGCAGTGGGCCACGTATATCAGCAACACTCCCTGACAAGCCAAAAAAAGGCTCCCGAGGACGATAATTACTTTTATTCGGATAAAACATGTCAGCATCCTTGAAGTATATACCTGGCAATCTTCTCTGGAGAGGAAATCTGGTATTTAATTCAGTGGGTTCCTTCCGTAATTTTTCATAACTGTTCTTCCTCCCCTCATCATCCTCTCTCTCAAAGTATGTCCAGTCTTACCTTTAACCTCTCTGTACTCTTCTAATACATCACTCCCTCTCTTCCCCAACAGATACCTTTGTTTCTATACTACTCTGAACAATGCTTTTCATGTTCTCCGCACTCTACTGCTAAAGTGTGAAATTATTGTCACCCTTTATCTCCTGCCTTAGTCTTTAGGATACGCTGTTTCAAATTCAATGCTGAAGAACTGATCAATTAAACTCTTCTTTTTAGAAGATGCTGCTGTAGCTCCAGAGTCTGTCTGCAAAACAAATTCTCTTATGATATAACTTTAAGTATCACATAAAGACAGTATTCTTTAAAATACCCCATTTATTTAAATTCTTTAAAGCCTATTCCTTCACCTTCCTTTAGATGCGTTTTCTCCTAATCAGTCAAGCTCCTGACACAGTACAGAAGTTCCAAACCAAAAGCATTTACAGCAACGCTGTTAAAGCCACCTCAAAGCATATTAGCAAACAAGATTGCAGTGAAAAAGTCACACCTCCCTGCTCCCCAGCTTAAATCTGCCTTAAATTTTAGAGTAGTCTATCAGACTTTTCCCACTGCCAAGACCCTCCAGAAAATAGCTTACAGAGAAGAGAGTCGGTCTGGTAAAGCCTTGGGGAAAAGTTTAATTAATTTCTCATGAGGTTGCTTATGTGAGTTGTCTGTTTGAAGCAGCATTCTTGTAGCCAACAATGCTGAAGCACTTTTTCCAGAAAAAACAAGTTATGTGCCAAATTCACAGGTTACCAGGGCCAGCTGCTGTGCACTCACAGTCACCACGGTGGTACCTTCCAGAGCCCAAAGGGGAAGTACTCCTACAGTACACTCCATAGCACAGCTGACATGACATAGGGAGCATTATGCTGATGAGACACATCAGAAAGCAGTTTCGCTTACTGGACTATCGATACATGTTAAAACCCTCACAAAATAGATAATCCTTAGTGAAAAAATATGCAAACCACGAGTATAATATTATAAATCCTAACTCCTTTTAGAGTAAGACTACAATTACCTCCATAATGGTATCACCTTCTATGCCTTCCAGCTTCTGCTGTAGTACCCTCATCATCTGCACCCAGCACTCATTGGCATCCTAGGAAGGGAATAGAACATTAAATGTGACTGGTAAAGTTATGATTTAGTAATATTAAACCCATCAATCTTCACACTATAACAAACAAACAAAGGATTCCTCACGTAAGAATTTCTCCCTATTCCACCATACATTTTCAGAGCTGGCACTTAACATTACATTCAAATTTTCTACACAATATAAAAGCAAATGCTTTACTGGGATAAATTACTTTCACAATAGAAGGAAACATTTCAAACATCCTCGCTCTCAGCTTCAAACAATAAGCTAATATTTGGTCTTTACCTGTTGAAGGTACTGGCCTTGATCACCTTTCTCTGCAAACTGCGGGAAGGCCATATGTAAAAACTGCAGGAGAATGATAGGTGGGATACTGGAGGAAGTTTTATCCATGGAATCAAACAAGTCTCTAAGAGCTTGAAGAAAAAGTGAATGCTTTGAGAAGTGGAAAAACAATTCAAACATGCCAGGAAGTTGAAAAAGAACAGTAAAACAGCAGCAACATTTAAAGACATCATTTAATAGTGTCCAGTTTGATATTCCAAACCAGAACCAAATTTTCCAGGTAGCATAAGAGGTGCACCCAAGATCTCATTTCTGAACATGACTTTGCAAGCATAAAGATGACAATTCTGACAGTTTGGCACATAATGCCTTATCTTTCCTGGCTAACAGAAAAATATTACTTGAACAGTTAAGATTTCATTCAAAACACATCTGAGGAACAATTTTTTCACAAGAGGACTACACCTACAGAAACCAGAAAGCATTCACAATCTAGCCTCTAGAGCAACTTAAGCTTCACCAGCTACTGGGGGAAAAAAAAAAAACCACCTTTACTTATTCCCAACTGAAATATCTAGAAAATGCTCATGCTTTATTTAAGACCCAGGAAAACAAGTATGCATATGCATACATGCAGACAGTTCATAACTATGTTCAGTTCAATAAATGCTATGGATTGCATGACAATACACATGGCTTTCTTTTTTGCTCCAGACACAGTGCTGTAAATGTCTTATCTACACAGGTTTCAGCATTTTAAACCCACAAATAACTTCAGAAACACCTATTAATCCCCACAACAACCCTGTGAGGTAGGCAACAGTCTGCATGATCACTAATTGACAAGTGGAGAGACTAATGAATGATACTCTTGAATAAGTAAATATAGACAAGATTACAAGGAACCAAGGTCAATTGCTTCCTCTCTTTAAGAAATATCTGCACTGACCTCGATTAAGAGAGATAACTAATATGACACAGCAATTTAGGACAAAAAATGCCATAAGTGTCATGCAGGAGTTCTTGACCAGCTCAGCACCAAAGAATTAACTATGAATTACTTCAACTATTAAAATTCCTAAAAAGCAGAGCTGTCACTTTAAAAAGAAAACAAGGGACATGAAGTAAAGGCAGTGAAAAGGGGAGGGGCAGGCGTGGTTTGTATAGAGTAACCATTGAACTTACCACCCCAAAACTCGATCAGCAGGCATACCCACAAACTGGACCTTTCCTTCCTTATATTGTTTTGTTTTTCCTTAAATGGACTGGTAGAAATCCCAGTGTCCTGGCCCAGCATCTTAGTGGGGCAATGAAATAGAGTAAAAAAAGAAAAAGTGGACAAGTAGTACCCTTGATCAAATGTAAGGGGTCTAACTAGAATTCTAGTTAGATCTTGGAGATACGGGGCCATTGTGAGCTCCCACATTGTGAGCACCCAGATCACCACAATAAAGAGTAACTTGCCTTTTGAAGACACTACTTTCTATTTCAGTTATGAAATTCAGATCTTTTGGGTAATGACTAAGACCACTGACAAAGCGTCAGCTACCACCGTAACAATACTGCTCAGCCAATAGATCTCACTAAAAAATATCAATGAACTACATGTTCTGGGAGTACGGTGCTAGCCTACCATTAAGTGAAATAAAGAATTGTGCACTGGACTATTTCTACACAAAATGATCAAATATACAGATGGATGGAGTATGCTTTAGGAAGTTCCAATTACTTTATGCCTACGTGCAAAACAGTTAAGAGACAGGAATGACTTCTATCTAAGCCTAGACCACACTTGTTTGTATTTTCCCTATTATGCACCTAGGTAATAATATGCAGAGACATATGCTTTGCAGCCACAGCCAGAATAACCTTTAAAGATACTAACAACAGAGCAAAGGGAATCCTCCAGTGCTAGTAGATCCGACATTGCTAAGGCATATGCACTAAAGAAAAACACGCAGAGATCTAACTGCAATTTTCATCTGCAGTTAGCAGGAAATCACACACTAGCCTAAACCCTTGTGTTCTACTCTAAACACCAACCTGCAGTAATGTATTGAGCAGACGCCATTTCTCCTGAAGCTCTTAAGGCACCACCATACCTAAAAGCGAAGAAAAACAATTTGTATGCAATTAAACACAATCGAGAAGAGCACACAGGTTTTTAAATCACAAAGCAGGCAGCAGCTACACTTATTTAAATGTATCAAAAGAAAGGCCAGGTTGGAGCAAGCTGGTCTAGTGGAAGGTTTCCCTGCCCTTGGCAGGGTGATTGGAACTAGATGATCTTTAAGGTCGCTTCCAACCCAAACCATTCTATGATTCTATAAATCACTAAACCAGAAGTAACTGAAGATCAGATTTACTCACACTCACCTCAAAGTCTCAGCTATTCTGTAAGCAATGCATGGAAGCAAAGGAAAACTGGCATCCTTAGAAAATAAATAAATGCAGACCGAGAAGCCTGGATACATCCCTGCTGCTTCCCTAATCTGTTTACCTCAAAAACTCCATCTTTAAAGAAACTGAGAAAAAGTCTGAATAGAAGCTACCCCTTTTCTGAAACATTTACCACAGCTTCTTCAGATGCATGGAAAAAACACCTTCAAGGGTGTGAGCCCTTTCGCTTCTCTCTCACTGCCATACACCCTTCCATGCTGCCATCAGGCAGGGAAGACTGAATAAAGTCTTAAGTGGCTGTCTGCGAATCTGACTTCCCAGAGACAACAAGGCCACATCTTGTATTGCAGTCTGCCAGTTTTATAGTGTAGATTTTGACATTTGGTATGTTAAATTTTGTCAAATACTCTGATTCAGTGCAGTAACTCAGTCTTTTACATGGAAATAGACCAGACTTTCCTAACCTGACAATACTGAAAACCAAGAAGAAGTTTTTAATAGTTTCTGTACTTCACAAATAGTTCTCAGTGCTAAATAATTAAGGCTCACCTGCTAACAGAATGAAGGAAAATGTACTTCAGTAACTAGTGTTTACAGTAACCTAGACTATCCAGTTGGGTACCAAGGTGTCAGGAAAGCAGCGTATTTTAAAGGAGTTAACCCTAAGATGGCAATGGTCTACTTAATCCTCACATTTTTTAAATACTGGTCATTTTCATCATAATAATAATTACAAAAAATCAAGGTAAGTTATTCTACAGTCAGAACAAACAAAACAGATTCCATAAGGGTTCTGGTGTCCTCAACATAAAAAGGACATGGAGCTGTTGGAGCAAGTCCAGAGGAGGGCCACGAGGATGATAAGAGGACTGAAGCACCTCCCGTATGAAGACAGGCTGAGAAAGTTGGGGCTGTTCAGCCTGGAGAAGAGAAGGCTGCGTGGAGACCTTATAGCAGGCTTCCAATATCAGAAGGGGGCCTACAAGGATGCTGGGGAGGGACTCTTCATTAGGGACTCTAGTGGTAGGACAAGGGGTAATGGCTTTAAACTTAAACAGGGGAAGTTTAGGTTAGATATAAGGAAGAAGTTCTTCACAGTGAGGGTGGTGAGGCACTGGAATAGGTTGCCCAAGGAAGTTGTGAATGCTCTAACCCTGGAGGTGTTCAAGGCCAGGCTGGACAGAGCCTTGGGTGTCCCTGCTCATGGCAGGGGGGGTGGAACTAGATGATCTTAAGGTCCTTTCCAACCCTAACTATTCTATGATTCTATGTCTTCTGTTCCCTACATATTCACATGTTAACTCCACCTTACCCTAGTTTGCTGCCACAGTAACCCCCATGGACCTATCTCAGAGCTTCCTGCTGTACCTCCAAGTACCAAATGTCAATAATGGCAGAATTTCATTGCACAAAGTGTTTTCAGCTCTAAATCCATTGAAAAGAATATTCCTCAAAGGAACAGGACTCCTGTACAATTCTCTTATATGGAACTAGACCATACAAACTAACATTAGAAAACTGGGTTAGGAGTTCAGTAGCGTGTTTAAGCAGTTTAAACAAGTCTTGATAGGAACTATTTTTTAGCTGGGCAAAACACATTCTCTCCACTAAAAGCCAGTTCCAACAAATACATAGTCTTAAGTTCTTTAAAAAGTACAGACTAACACAGCCATAGGATAAAAGTTTAATCTATCGCGATGTTAACCTTGAATAGCTTTAAAGAATAACAGATTGTTATGGTAATCTGTATCAGTATTAAGACAACTGTTCCACAAAACATCTATTTCATAAGCTAAAGAAAACATTTTGGTCATGGTATTTTTGTACTGAATCCTACCTTTTAAGGGCCTCTTTCACTTCTGGCACTGAGCGGATACACTGAACCGTAGCATTCATGTAGCAAGTGTTGCCAAGGTTTGTCAATCCACATGGTAATTCCATCTACCAAAAGATTTACAAGGGTGCTTAAGGGTCAGAGAGAGATCTGCAACCATTTTTGTATAAACACTATAACTTGACATCAACTTCTATGAAAGAAAGAGATGCATAAAACCTGAAATATTCCATCAAACCTTATGAAGCTTTCTAGATCCATTTTCTGATTATATTAATCATTTCAGCATTTGGTGCTTTTAGAGGACATTCAGAAATGCTTTGGGTTTTTTTCCTGCGCATGTTTAGTTAAATGAACATATTCTTCAAGCAGGCAGTCATTCAGAAAGTTCAGTTATAATCTCACTCAAGTTTTGACCTTAAAGTTCTATTTCCATGAAAATTCCACATGAATACACTTGTACAAAAAAAATGATGTTTTAATTAAAATCGGTTTTCGGTGAAACACGGAAGGTGCTGAACTCCATAGTTAAAACCAAAAGCGTTATTTAAACTCCTCTCCAGAAGTTTGCAACAGATCATTAATTTGATCCTTTCAGACAGCTTGTGAACTTCTAAGGTTTTGACAAATGTGAAGGCCAACTAATAATTAAACTAACCAGCTTCAGAAGCAACTATAAATCACAATATAATAGCTTTTTTAATTTTCTTTAATCCTGCATATTTGAGTAGTAGTCAGGGAAAAGCATGCAGTTTAATGAACCTGAAGTTGTGCTGCATACCAATACCACTGAGTTATTTTAGGAGAAAAGAATTCATTTAGTTGTGTATTCCATTTTAATGAATACATGCAGTACAGACAATTGAATTTTGATGTATAACAAAATACGAGTCAGAAGAATGCAATGTGACCAACTTTTTGAAAATGTTATCTTACACTGAACCACCTCCATGTTTGCCTCTCAGTTACTCAAAGCCAATGTACACGGTTAGTCTCAAAGATACATGAATATCCCTCACCTGCTGATGCCATGGAAAGTATTAAATACTGAAACACAAAACCAGTCCTAAACTACAGATTTGTTTTCATACAGACATGCATAGATGTCTTCCCATTCTGCATGTACAGGTGACAACAGTCACGCAACTGTTAAGTATGACAAAGAGCTCCCAGTTCAAATGACTGATGAGAAAATTAAGCCTTTCAAATTGTAAAAAGCGAAACAACTCAAACAGAAGTTACTTCATTTAAAATAATAGATTAATTATGCTCTTCCAGACTTTACTCCCATAAAGGAAAATATATAATCTATTCCACTGACATCAAACTTACTTTCAAAGGACAAACAGAACTCCAAACACACCCTACCTCAAACAAACACTAGTTTCCCTGCACAGATATGAAGGAGACATCTAAGAGCCCTTATTCAGGCAAAGTTCAGGACACCAGTACAGCAAGGGTAATATAACTTTCTCTTTAAAAACATCAGCAATGCTATTTTTAGAAAATTTACTAAGCTGCCTGCTTAAAGAAAAACCAGCACCAGTTACAAGGCTTGTAAGTTAAATTCCAGACTTCTTACCAGTGCTACCAGTTGGGTCATCAATGTAAATTTGTGTTTATTAAAGCAGCTATAAATGCTGAACAGGCATTACAGTTTCAAAATCCACTTTTAAGCAACTTCTAGTATTTAAGAACTTGACATTATTCCTCTTATTCTAAGGTTTACAAAGAGCCAAAGAGTGAAATATGCTTACAGCTGAAGCCAACTGTTCCTCTGTCATGTCTTCTACAAAGACGGGTCGAGCAATTGGCTCTTCTGGAAGCGCATCTGCGGAACCCATCATTAATAAGGTCATCCCCTTGAAACACAGTAAAAACAGTAATAAATAGTTAAGGGCAGTTATTTCTGCTTAAAAATAAATAAAATCATTAAGCTCTTGATAGATTTCAGCTATTTCCCCCAAAATAAGCACAATCTTTCTCTTAGTTCACAGAATTGATACTGCGCTGTTGTCTCTTAAGGATATACCTTAACTTTCTCATTACCTAGAAAGCACTTGCGGAGAGCAACTCCACCATATTATCTGTGCTAGACATTTCACCTGAGCCTGGTGAGCTTAACAGCAGCTCAGCAATGTAAGATTCCAATAAGGACTAAATTCAGCATTCACTGAATATCCCAATGTGAAGTGTTCAGAAAAGCTTCCTTTCTGATGGAGCACTAGGGATCAGGCATCTTCAACGCTTTCCTTGAGTCTTGGCAAGTACCTCAGAACCCAGGACAACTGAGCAGCTCAATCCTGATTTGAAAGAAGCTGAAATGTTTGAGTTTCTCAAATTCAGAATTCTCTAAACAACAACAACAAAAAAACCCAATCCCTCATCTTTAGCCTAGAATCTGTGGAAACTCTTCAGGCAGATGTGCATAATAATGACCACAGCTGAGTTTGGAATTGTTTGCTTCACCTGAAAAGTGGGAAAGGGAAGTGCCATCCTTTGTCTGGCAAATTCTGAGGACACTAAGCTAACTGAGAACTGAACAATAACCAAAATGACTCCATCAGTGTAGGCAAAAGGACTAATGTTCAAGAAGTAGGGTAGGAAGCAATCAAGTTACCATGCTTGCTGGACTAGCATAACAAAAAGGAGTTTTTCAGCATTCCACAGGAGTCCATCTACACAGTAAGACCTATCAAAGTGGGAGAAAATGGCTATCTAGGGCCTTGAAAAATGCAATGCTAAGGAAAAGGAAGAACAACATAATGGAAAGAAACTACTCTGACAGTGTAATAACTCCCTAGAACTTGTATATAACATAATTAAAATTAATAAAGGCAGTTATTAGAGTAACAGTATGCAAAAAAGGACAAAAATATTATGTACCAAGGATTTTTTGCTGAATGACTTGGCTACAATAGCGTAGCTATAAGGTACTAATAGATGACTGCAAACTAATTACAAGGGTAAGAGTGGCACTATCTAATTCAATCTGCTCAGTGAAGAACTGGAGTAAAACCTGTACCAAACAGATGTTACGAGATACTTACAGAAATGAAACTGCAAAAAAACCCCAAGCAAAAATCTTTGGGATTCCGTGTTACAATATTATATAGCTAAGAAACACAAATACATTCACTTTTTGTTTTCTTTTTGAACTAGTCAAATGAATAACCATTACTAATGGCTTTGTTTTTAAACAGCAGCCATTTAGTACAGAAGAACAAATTTCAGCAGGTAGATAAGAAATAAATAGGCTGAGCTGTAATTTCAGCATTTGTAATGCCATGATTTTCCATGCTGGGGACATACAAGCACAATGGACTATGGGCAGCGCCCAGGTTCACAACCTCTCTCTAAATAACATCACTTATTACTATGGTCACAGACAGACAACACAGAAGGACCACTGGTCCGACCCAGAACATTTCTTGTAAGAAACAAAGAAATCTACGCTCCACAGGACTTCAGAAAGTCCTACAGATGCCAAAAGGTTTTTCATAAATCACTGGTGAGAACTACGTAAGAATGCTTAAGCATGACACCTGTAAAAATATTTGTCATCCATCTGATTTTCAGGAAAGAGCTTCCCACTGAAACAGAAACAGCAGAACTTTTACATTTTTTTTAGATGTGAAAATAAAAATTAAACTAGTAAAATTTAGTTACTCCCCAGAACTTACATTCTTTATTTTTAGGTTCCCCCAGTCATCATCCTGTATTTGAAATAAAAGACAGATTAATTATCTTGCAGCAAAAGCAAGTACCTTCATAAATGTTAATCACGTATTTCTAAATGCACAACTGTGTTTCATCAGAGATATCATATTAACTATTTATATCAAGTCTTGTCTGACTAACATAAAAAGCAGCCAAGTCATCTTTCCATTAAGGTTCTTCATCTCTTGTTCAACACTGCTTAGATGGAAGCAACTTTTTGTAGGAAATCTGCCTATACTGCATTATACCAGTAAGTCTCCAGCAAAGAAGTGCTAGAGAAACTTCTCTTAAGCTAAAAAGCAAAAAGTTGCATTCAGATTCTGAATATTAAGAAGGAACATAAAAAAAGCCAACTAGGTTTTGGTATAAAAGAATGGAGAAGTGTTTTTAAACATTAGTGTACCTCCCAACCATTCAGCAACACTTTTGCCAGGATTTTCTAGCAGTAGGTAATGAATCATACAGAATTATTACTGAAAAGTATAGTCAGTTTAATACATGCAATGACAGATCTTCTGGAGGAACACTTAGAAATATGGTCATTGATCATTACATTATAACATTAAGTAAGGTTAGAAATAATATTAAAACCAAACATGGATTTCTACCTTCAGAGTTCCTCCTTTAACCATAACCTTCTGTCTAGCTGGCTGAACTCCAGTTAGTGCAAACAACTGAGCTTTGAAGACCATTGGAGGTTCATCAGTGTTAAGCTCCACGCCATCGAATTTCTCTTTTCCCCATTTCACATTAACTGCAAACAAAATGTTTTGAAACTAGATTATTTCCTAATACACAAGAATGCAATTACCAAGATTAACCCAGTATTTCAAATTCCAGAGTTTATACCATCTCAGAACATTCAGCTTTCAATTCAAAAACTTGCCAGTAACCAAGCTAAGGAACACCTTGACTATACGGCAGCAGAGCCATCAGAATATATTACTTCCAACATGTCTAAACATATCTTACAAAACAATTGTATGCAATATATATATTGAGAAACTTTCCAAGCAATAAATGTGTATAATAGCATCAAAAATCCTTTAGACAAGTCTTCTCAAAAGCAGTTTGAAAGTAACTCTCCCAATCCATTGGCACTGTTTATTGTAAACAAATGAACTTTCCGAAGGAAGTTCAGATGTGCGACTCCAGTTCAGTTTTCCATAGCATTTCCGTTCTCCTTCAACAGAAAACAATACCACGTTCCTTAAAAGCAAAGCTACTGTTGTCTGACAGTCATAGCTTTGGCTACCAGTATCACTCTCATGGAGCTACATGAAAAGTGTGCATCAAGGCAACACCTATAAAACAGCACACCAATGGAAGGTTCATCTCAGAGTGCCATCCATGACGCCACCACTGCAACCCTCCTCAGTTTTGAGAGTATTCACACAACCAGTTGCAGATCCAGAGGCCCTGACCCCAGTAAAGGTGGAAGTAAGCAGTGAAGTGAAATTCGGTCAGGGAAAGTGCAATTCTTTATGCTGGAAATGGG